TTTGCATCTGAAGGCAGCTACAAAGACTTTGGGCTGGACCATTTACTGAATTATTTAGTAGTTTGTTTTTTTTCCCTTTGCTTCAGCTACACCAGTAGTTGTCTTCAAGCGTTCTTACAAATGACTCATCTTACTGTTATTATAGTACATAATTGGAAATCAGCTCAACAAAAGTCAAAGAAGCTTCATTAGCATAATTGGTTAAGTTACAGAGCTGCTAAAATTGTATAACAGTGTTTGTTATACATCAGTCTATTGACACACACACACACACACACACACACACACTCAAGTGAATGCACTGTTCAGGTCCTCCCTGTGTTGGTGCATAATAATGGAAATGGCTGGAGGCTTTAAATCTCTGTTGATTGTTTATTTTGCTCCTAGACTTTTCATGGCTGAATGATACGCAAAACCAGACAATAAGTCACACAGCTAAATCAGTCTGATAACATATGAGTGCTCTCTTTCTCCTTCTCTCTCTCTCTCTTTCTCTCACTCTCTCTGTCTCTCTCTCTCTCTACCTCTTTACTATCTCTCTTTTTCTCTCTCTTTACCATCATCATGCTCTCTCTGTCTCTCTCGCTTTCTACCTTTTTACCATCATCTCTTCCTCAACCTCTTTATCTTCTCTGTCTTTGACTCTCTATACCTCTTTACTATCATCTCTCTCTTACTCCTGCTAACCCTCTCCCCTATCACCTCTCTTTTTCTCTCTCTATCTCTCTACTTTTTTCCATCATTACTCTCTCTACTTCTTTGTCGTCATCATCATCATCATCATCATCTCTCTTTACCCTTTTCCTATTCCTGTTCTCTCTCTCTCTGTACTATTTTACTATTATCTCTCTCTAAATGTTTACCACCTCTCTCTCTACCTCTTTACCATCATATCTCTTTTCACCTGTTTACCATCATCTCTCTTTCCCCCTCTACCTCTTTACCATTATCTCTCTCTCTCTCACTTTACTATCCCTCTCTGTGTTTCTTAGAGATCTCTTTACCATTTTCTATGTTTGTCTCTCTCACTTTCTACCTCTTTACTATCATCTCTCTCGCTTTCTATACCTCTTTAATATCATCTCTCTCACTCCCCCTCCCCATCATCTCTCTTCTTCTCTCTATTTCTCTCTACTTTATAATTTTTTTACGTTTTTATCATTACTCCCTCTACTTCTTTATCATCTTACTCTCTCTCTCTCTCTAAACCTACCTACCAATTTATCATCATCTTGCTCTCTTTGTACTTCATCATCATCATTATTATAATCTCTCTCTCCACATTTACCATTATCTCTCTCTCTCTCCGTGTTTACTATCATCTCTCTCTACCTCTTCACCATCATGCCTCTCTCTCCACCTCTTTATAATTTCTCTTTCCTATCTCTCTCTCTGTGTTTACCATCATCTTTCTCTCTCTCTCTCTCTCTCTCTCTCTCTCTCTCTCTCTCTCTCTCTCTCTCTCTCTCTCTACATGTCTCATTGTTCAAATCTACTCACTCAGTGAAAACAAGGTGAGCAGACAGTCGGAAGCAGGGTCATGTGGAAGTAATAATTACACAGTTAGAAACAGAAAAGTTTGGAAAAATTGAAGTAATTTGTACAACTTTAATATTTTTGTTCATCTCAACCAATATATATATATATATATATATATATATATATATATATATATATATATATATATATATATATATATATATATTGGATTTTGTTCTAGTAATTATGATTTGATGTAATTAATGTAACTGATGAATTGATGTAATAAGAGGCTACAGGCTCTTTTGAGGAAAACCAGTCTGAAACACTGCATCACTGTGCTAAAACATCTGGTCTGAAACATCTGGGTGAGTGTACTGAAACATCTGTTCTGAAGCATCTGACTGAATGTACTGTTGAAATGTGCGCTAATGTTGAGGCATTAAATGCGGTCCATCCCTGCTGCGCTGATGTTCAGTGAAACATTTAGCAGCAAAGTCACCAACATATACAGCCAATGATGGGAGAAATGTTAATACAGTAGTCTGAGGGATATTCATAGTCTTCATATGTTAAAAACACAACAGGGGATGTCGACTGCTGGTGTTTTTTTTTTAATTAAGACTGCAACACAAGCATGCAAACATAAATAAATAAATAAATAAATAGATAGATAAATAAATAAATAGATAATTCTCCTTACCCCTAATGTAGACAACAAGCCAAGATATGATTGGTGTCAGAAGTTTGCTTATTTGATTTTGTACAGGTAGCTACAAAACCCTACCTATTTAATGTAGTACTATTTAATGTAGTAATGTAGCCAACACTACAGTACTGTGTCAGAGACCACCTCTTTCAGGGGTGGCACCACACCTCCAAAAGTGGTAGGGCCTTCTAGGGTTCTTCTACTAAAGTATATTAGTGAGGACAGGAATCTTTTTACTTTTTACTCAGTAACATTTTATCCATTCATGTTTAAATACTAATTCTTTATTGTGTTTAATTTCAGTATGTTTTGATGGTGGCAATATTTGTACTGCTTTATGACTGGTTACATCTCTGACTTTGGAATGTTGTATTTTAGACCAAAATAATCCCAAAAAGAGAAGAACAGAGCTGCACAATCTTCAGTTCCTATGGTGATAAATGCGGAATGTAAAGACGTTCCACTGCAGACCTCAGTACTTAAGTAGATTTTCAACCTGCTTCTTTTGTATTTCTATGTAAGTTGTTTTGGGGAAGTTACTTTTACTTGTGTAATTATTTTATGCAAGTATCAATACTTTTACTTCAGTATTGATTTGGGCTCCTCACATCTGAGCCTGATCATGAACAGTGTCGGTGTTAGTTTTGATTCTGCTTCAGTAGATGCGGCCTCAGATAGCAGTATTCGTTAGCTAACATCTCTGAAGAACATCAGGCTGTTTACAAATCCAGTTCATTTTCTAAAGACCGCATAACAGATTGTTTTTTTTGTGATACTGTATCTCTTTCATTTGGTTCAGATGGTGGGCTGCAAGGGCTAAAAGTGCACTAAATTACACATGTGGGTGTTTGTTTATTGATCAGAGGTTTTGCAGGGATCCAAGCACTCTGTGACTCTCACATTCACCACCATGGAAACAGAGAAAGAAAAAATATAGATGCTTAACGTTTGTGTGTATACCAGTTTAAATTTAACCCATCAGGTCGCTGATGCTTGGCCAAAAATATTCTCCACGATCCAAAATCAAACACATATCATTATTTTATTGCTTGTCTTTTGTTATTTACAGGAATGATATAAGCGTTTGTAAAGAGTGAAATGTTGAAGCAGCAGATTGTGTAGACAGTACAGTGAAAACGTGCTCTGGTGTTGAATTCTCTCGTGATTTAGTGCAGTTCAGTTGTCTAGTGCCGCCTGAATTCGCGTGAAGAAAAAGAAGTTGGACAGGTCAGCAGCAACCAAGGCAGATCTGAAAGCGCCTCCTAGCTAGAATGGAGATTCCGATTGGCACTGCCAGTTTTGCCTTTCCTTGCTGGTCAGCGCTTCATGCAGTTTGGGAAAAGCACAAGGTTTTACGTGCCCGTCCTGAACTCAGAAAGTAGTGGTGCGTTGCCCCAGTACTTTGAAAGGTGGTGGGTCACCCTTTTATTAATATAATTTCCAGTACAAAGTATTCATTTTTCAGAAAGTATTCATGTTTAACAGAAAAGTACTCAAAAATCTCAACAACTAAATGTAACACTTTTTTTAGTATTTAGTGTGCTATCTTTTGGTTTTATTACAGTTTCCATTCTTTTGGGAGCCTTGCTTCAGTTTTTCCATATCTTTAAAGTTCATTCTTAGAAGTTGGTCACATTTTCTACTTCTCTGCATTTTGTACTTGCACTAATCCTTCACCAGTATTATAGATATGGTTCAAAGAGTCTTTTAAATGATTCAGTGGTGTACATACTACCCTCTTACTTCCAAAGATCTCAATTTAGACTCATCACTCCATAACACCTTACTCCACATCTCAGATGTCCAGGTTTTGTGATCTAGTGTACATTTTCTTCCTTTTTGTCTATTTCCTTTTCTTAGTAAGGGCTTCTTGACAGCTACACATCCTTTCAGAGTCACAGCACTGAGTTGTCTTCTCATAGTGGAAGGATGGACAGAAATACCTGTTGTTGTTTTTTTTTCAGATCTGAAGCAAAAGAAGAGCTTCATTTTCTTCTCACAAAGATGAAAGCTTTAAGTGCTGTTTATCTGATGGGGACATCCAGCAGTAAAGTGAAAAAAATCAACATTTCAAGATGTTTACAGACATTTTAAGAACTTTAAGATGTTGCCACACAAAATCTGGACAATGCTTTTGGCTTTTAGAAAGCCACAGAGGGAGAGGACTCTACAACACCAACTGCATATGTAGAGCCTGTTATGTTCATTACCTTCTGCTTATGCTGTTGTGTTTAGTTCAGGCTGAGAGTCTTGGACCAAGGGATGTCAATCAAACATGCTTATTACAATAGTAGAACCTGGCTGAGACGGTTCTTATTTAGGTCTGATAGGCATCTTTTTAATACATAAAGAAAGAAGTCTGAAGTACAACAAACATTACAAAATGTTGTATCATGTGTATTTACACATTTCTTAATTGCATGTCTCCAAATCCTCAAAACTCATATAGTGTCGCTTTAACAACTCATTATAATTATCGTTAACTTATTCAACTCATCATCAGCTAACATTTGATCCTTCTGGTCCAATTCAGAAGCATTTGTATTCCTGTGATGTCAATTTTATGCTGTTCTTAGTTAAGATTCAGTTTACCAGTTAAAGTTACACCCAGACTGACTCAGCTTATGACCAGGCATAAGCCCTGCTAGCACAACTGGCTCTTGTTGTGTTAGCTAAACTCTTGGAACTAAACTCTAAAACCCTGATTTCCAGGATCACCAATTTTTTGTAAATTCAATTTAGTGTAAGCAGAGTTTCAACCACCTAAGCCACTGGAAAAAAGGAAGAAACATTGTCGTCGATCAAGACCCACCTGAATCCATGCCAATGATGAACCGGCCAATAATCAGCATTTCAAATGATCTAGCCTTCTCTCCCAGAGCCAGAAGGAGTGCAGCGATCACCGCCAGGCTATTGTTCGCCAGAAGAGTGCCCTTTCTACAGAGAAAGAGAGAGAGAGAGAGAAAGTGAGAGAGGCAATTCAATTCAATTTTATTTGAATGGTGCTTTTTCCTAACATTCTAACAAAGCAGCTTTCCAGAAGTATAGATTAGTGCCATTGACGGCAACAGTAGCAAAAAAAAAATCTCTAAGAATATGAGGATGAGACTCAGAGAGAAACCAAGACTCAAAAGTAAAACCTCACTAAGAACATGAGGAACAAACACAGAGAGAAACAAGACTCAAAAGGAAAAACTCAATAAGAACATGAGGAATAAACACAGAGAGAAACCAAGACTCAAAAGGAAAAACTCAGTAAGAACATGAGGAATAAACATGGAGAGAAACCAAGACTCAAAAGGAAAAACTCAATAAGAACATGACGAATAAGTACAGAGAGAAACCAAGAGTCAACAAGAAAAACTCAATAAGAACATGAGGAATAAATACGGAAAGAAACCAAGAGTCAACAAGAAAAACTCATTAAAAACATGATAAATAAACATGGAGAGACACCAAGACTCAAAAGATCACTAAAACCATGACGAATAAATAAGGACAGAAACTAAGACTCAAAAGGAAATTCTTACAAAGAACATGAGGAATAAACATGGAGAGCAACCAAGACTTTACTCTGATAGTAAAGTCTGTCAGAATTGATCTGGTGGACTACTGGTTGCATGGCACACATTCAGAATGTACTGATTGCATGGTACACACTCAGGATGGTAAGTATGAGAACATGGCAGGGCGGAGGTTCAGTGTGACTGTGTAGCACAAGATTCTAACTTCTGGTTAGGAATTCATGTAGAGGTTGCAGTCATGAAGGTAACTATAAACCATGATGGCAGTCCAATAGGGATGTGATGGTAGACTAGTCATTAAAATGTCTAAAGCATCAACATCAGGCATTTTCATCACAGCAGGAACATCCCACCAGGATTTGCACCAACAGAGATCAGTAAATTTAAAAAGCTTAGGAGAACATTCACCATGGCTTCTACAACATCCACAAACGTTTTCTAGTGAGAAGAACTGATGAGTTTGCGAGAATTTACTGTGCTGCGTCAGTGTCTTGGAAAACTTTTCTTTCTTACACGCCAAATGGAGTCTGTATGAAATCGACTGAAAAAATTAAATAACTGAAGATGATAAGTTATCTTAATGTTTATCTAAACTCATGGTAGTCCAAGATTGGTCTTAGCTAGCTAAGATGGCTTACATCAAATCAGCATTACTAATAGCAATGTCCATTGTTTATCCTAACCCCTTATCAAGCCATGAGCCAACCTTTTATTACATACTTCTATAACCTAAGAAAAGCTCCATTAGTTTAGTTGTAGTTAATGAATAATAAGCCTTAGTATGTAATAGGTGTGAAATGTTAAGTGGTTAAATAGCAAGCTAGCAAACATCTAAACTATGCTTTTTTCCCTGCTCTTTTAATTTTGGGGTGATAAAAAGGGTGTTCACATCACACAACAGCTTGTAACAGACAAGTAGGCAATAACCCAGAAAATGATCTCTAACAGTGGCTCTATGGAATGCTATTAAGGTTAGTTACCTCATCAGGAATACTCATCTTTTCTGCAAGTATATGCAAGAATAAACAGGTGTAGTTTGCAACCATCAGTACTGCAATATATTATAACTGCAGAGATAAGTAATCACTTCTTCAAACCTAATCTTTTTTTACTACTAACTGAATGGCTTAGTGCTACGCTGGTGAGTTTTTTTTTTTTCTTTTTGCTGTATTTGAAAAGAATTGTCATAAAACTTGGAAGAGCTTCACTGACTTCATAATTAGATATGATTGGCTTATAACTTATAAGATCTGACTTAATTGGCCAAGCTGGGCATTTCCCCAGTGCTGGATAATGACAAATACCAGAAAATAACTGGCTTTGCCTCACCTATGTCAGAAACTGCTTGAAAGTTTGTGAACCTTTCACCTGAGTTTTGGCTCATGGACAAATGTCCTGACATTTTCCTTTAGAATTTGCTTATATAATTTAGAGTTTGATAAAGCCATGATACTACCACTACTATGTTTCAAAGATGGGATAAGGTTTTTTTTTTTTTTGCTAGAATGTAATGTTTTTCTATCTAAAAACATAACGCTTCCATTTTCTGTTTGACTGTGGGCCGATGGAGTCCAACTCTTTAGAGATGATTTTGTAACCTTTTCTGGCCTGTTGAGCATCAACAACTCTTCTTCTGGGATCCTCAGAAATCTACTTTGTTCGTGCCATGAAACACTTTCACAAACATGTGCTGTGAAGATCAGACTGTGATAGATCCCTGTTCTTTAAATAAAACAGGGTGGTCACTCACACTTGATTGTCATCCCATTAGTTGAAAACACCTGACTCTAATTCCACCTTTGAATTATTTGCTAATCCTAAAAGTTCTCATACTTGTGCCACTCACAGATATGCAATATTGGATCATTTTCCTCAATAAACAATTACCAAGTCTAATATTTTTGTCTCACTTGTTTAATTTGGTTCTCTTTATATACGTTTAGGACTTGTGTGAAAATCTGATGAGGTTGTCAAATTTATACAGAAATATAGAAAATTCTAAAGGGTTCACAAACTTTCAAGCACCACTGTGCACAATCAAAATGTTTTTATTATTTTTTTATTACATTTTTGGCTTTTCTGCAAAATAGAAGTAATTAATGTCCAACAGGTATCTGCAGACTGCCACACAAATGTTTTAGCACTTTTGGGAAGAACTTTCCAGAATTTTTATTGGTTTTGTTGGCTTTTGTTAATTACCATATCATACTTTTCTCATTTTTCATCATGGGAGTCTTAGTGACTCTTCACACTCTGATCATCTACTGATTACAATGCAAAACAATCCTCTTCTACATATTGGTCTTTTAACTGTGGAACTTTTCCATAGCGATAAATCCATGGATCCTCAATACTAGCCAGTTTTGCTGATTGGGTCCTAAATACGTGCATACATGAGAAAAAAGGAAGAGACACCTATTACCTCCTACAGTGATTCACTAACTCAGACAAGCACACACACCCTCTCTCTCTGTCTGCCTGATGAAGTTTCACGCCTGGTCAAGTCCATCACATCGAATCACTGAACACCAGAAAGCAGTGGCCGAGCCATGGATCCCGAATCTGTCACCGTTTCCATTCATTGCATGGTCTTCTTTCATCGGAAGAGATGACCATGTTTCTTTCATTCTGTCTTTTATCATGGTGACTAACTGTGAGAGCCTCCTAAGGCCAGGAAAAGCATACTGTTCCCTCAGTCGCATCAGTCGAATGCAGAAAAAATTCAACACAAACAGAAATACTTTCTTTAGCCGTATTAAATCAAGGTGACTTGACTTAATCTTGAAGATGTTTCGCTGCTTTACTCCTAAGGTTACATGACAGTGTCTGCAGACTGAACTGGTATGAAACTGCCTGTTAATTTTGTCTCCTTTGGCCTTCAAAAGACCATGTGATTCAACAAGATTGTGAATATGTTGTATAATCCATATATCAATGTTGTACCATGTGGAAATTATTACATTGCACAGTTGCTGTTCATTGGAAGGCCACAGAGTCTTGCTACAAACAGCCCTTTCCACCTCATCCTAAAGATATAGTTGAGATCTTGAGACTGTAAAGGCAACTGAAGTTTTTATAATTCTGTCAAGTTCTTGGAATAACTCCTTTGAGCTCCCCAGGAAACAATACAATACGAGAAGATGGCAGGGAAGAAGTTGAGTATGAGTGTAAAGCAGGATTTCAAGAAAGCATTCACCACTTCTACACATTTCACAATGGTTTGCTCGTGAGAAGAACTGATGAGTCTGAGAGTGGACAGACAGTAAACAGAGAGAGGACAAAAAAATTAACCTCAAATGAAAAATACATGGACAGAGATTAGTGGACAATTTAGACGGACTGTAAGTGACAGAAAGTGGACAGGGAAAGGCCTAGAAGTGGAAAAAGAGTGGATTAGAAGTAGACAGAAAGTAAACTGGGAATAAACAAGAAGTGGATGAGGAATTAACAGGGAGGAGACTAGAGTCAAGAGAAAATGACAAGAGGTTGGCTTCTATAAAAGGATAGTGATCCAAAACACACCTTAAAATCCACCATGCACTACAAGAAACACAAGCTGAAGCTTTTGTAATGGCCCACACAATCCCCTGACTTGAACATCATTGAAGCTTCAGGAAAGAATGGCTGACAATTCCTGGCTACAAAAGCATTTGCAATATGTGGTAACTGGCAAAGGGGGGTGTGGTAACTGGCAAACTATGCATTAAGATTTGCAGAAAAAAGTTCCGCAGAGGTTGTGTTTACTTCTTTTCACTTCAAAATTCAACAAATATGTAATTTGGCCATGGGCGCCCAAACATACCTGTACTCCATGTCATTCAGTGGGTATCTGGATTCCTAATATGTAAAGAAAACATTCCTTACACCATCACACTGCCTCCACCGGCTCATGCTGCTTGTGTGATAACTGCCAATGGGGGTGTGGTATGTTGTTGTTGAAGAAGTGTCCTTTGTCCATTAGACATAGGTTCACTTCTAGGGCCCAATCCCATTTCACCCCTTGTCCCTACCTCTTAGCCCTTAGTCCTCTGTTTCGCACATTCACGCCTAGGGGTAGGGTGATTTTTGTTGAGATAGAGGGGTAGGGTGAAGTGTTAGGGCTTCAGGGCCCTACACACTGAGGTTTTTGAGAGGCACACTCCAAATAGACTGTTATGAGAAAAAGAAAAACCGGCAAGATGATTATGCAAGCGACCAAAAAAAACCCCAAATGTGAGTATTTTCTTCGTTAAAAAATTACGGTAATCATTGTATTATCTTGGTTTAATGTTGTTTCAATGTGTTATGGTCCTTTTCTTGATAACAGGCATAAATAATCACTAATATTATTCTAATGTCTCGGTAGCTAGCTAGGTCAATTTCCCATTCCACCTTAATCCCTCCTCCCTCTTTGAAAGCATATGAGGCCCTAAT